GAAATGCGGATTGGTTCTGCCCTCTCTCTCCCTTAGCCAGCTTGCACAGATGGCTGTGTTAAGTGCATCAATAAAAACACACAGGCCTGTTCACATGTACACACTCAGGCATTTCCATTTAAGACTTTAAGCTCATCAGATTAACCAGAGACAAACTTGTCAGGTGGTGTTTTTAGCCGCACCCACTGGCAAGGTTTGCATGCAAAAGCTCTGTTTACCTGAGACCTTCAATGTCAGGCCACAGGACATTTTAGCAATAGTTGTAGGAAAAAAATTAGATTTAAATAGTTTGCAATACAATGACTTACAAAAATCTATGAAACCATATTCTCTGATTTCATCGTATCTTGAAAAGGTTATATTTATGTATCTTCAAGTATCCTTGTATAGGTTTTTAGGTTGCTTACTGATATTTTGCAGTGTAAGTTCACTTAATACTCAAATGTTTGGTACACAAAATTTTTTAGCTTTACCCTTCTATTATATAGTAACAGTCAAACTGTTCATTTTTTAAATTATTCCAAGCTGGCAACACATGTGCCAAGTGTAAATACATTTAGGACATAAAGAACATGTCAATCCCTTTGTAAAACAACTCTGTGGGACTACGACATTAAAAGACTAGGTTTTGGAAAGCATATTTAGAAGAGTGAGGAGTGGCATTATGTATATCTCCATGTAAACTATATCCTTGTCCCATCTTGAGTTGGTTGGCAAGCTTTTTTGTGTGAGGCTCAGGACCGTCATAGTACATTACAATCACCCATCTTCCCTTCTATTATAAGCATAAGGTGTGTGTTGTGCTAGCTAAGTAGACTAGGCTATTTGTAAGAGTTGGATTGCAAGTGTAATCTTCTTGCTCCCTCCATCTAGAAGATTCAGGAGGTCACTAGTCCCATGTTGAACATCACCTGTACTTTCATTTTGGAACATTTTTTTAACAGCAGATTTTGATTGGATGTTTAAACAACCGTCTTTCAAAATCTTTGTGTTTTCTTTTAAAATGTTTTCAGTCTTTGAGTAATGCTGCATAGAAAATAATTAAAAAATATAAAAGGGGAAGGGGGCTATTCTTGTAGCTTCAAATCACAAATGAAAACCATGTTAACAAACCAAAGATTTCACAATGTATATTACTAGATCTGATTGAATTAGTTTGAATCTTTTTGGGGGTTTACAATCAATCAAATTATGACTTTTATGTAATGTGTGGGCCTTTTTTGCATAGTTGGTTGATATTCTTTCTCTATTAAATGAAATTATGATAAATATTAAGAAATTGTTCATTTTTTTGTATGTGAGCAAATTTATAAATTCATCAGGGGACCAAAGAATTATTTCTCCCACTGTATATTGTATGTAAACTTTATAACTAAAGCAAAACCGTTACAGCAGTGACAGCAGACAATAGTTGCCTCTTGATCAAGCATCAAGGATCATTATTATTGTGATTATTATTCCTCTCTAATCTCTCATGCATACTTTTTAAATATATAGTTCATTAAGAACTGGATTCCCAGACAGGGGTAAGACCAGAAGCACAGAATGTCATAAAACCTGAGCCCAGCTCTAATCCCTGACTCACATCCAGGTGTACCACACTAACACAAACCAGGCAAGCTGCTGGTCATTAGAGCAGATGGAGCTTAAGCTGTTGGAGGTAAGTTGTTTGCCATCTCTTTCTTTGGTTTATTAAAGACGTCACAGCCAGTACATAAAACTCAATCTCAATTCACTCCATTTAAGCTCAGGTCCTCTACCACGGACAGCAAAACACCGAACCAGCTTGTCAGGAGTGCTCGGTCTGTGGTGGGTTTTTTCTTGGAGGATGTTGGCCAACTGCATTTCGTTGCCCTGTACCTGTGCATGTGCAATGACAATAAAGTTAAATTCTATTCTATTCTATTCTAAATACACATCCGTCTTAGGGAATCCCTCTCACACTCTGCATGACACATTAAGAGTATTCGGCAGTTCTGTTGGCAACAGATTGTTACATTGACTGGGTAAGAAGGAACACTACCACAGGTCCTTTAAGACTTTACAATATAGTCAATTTAAAGTAATAATCTGTACTATAATGTGGTCTATATTTTCAAAACACTTGCATGCCTATCACTTCTGTGCAATATTCCAC